ATTAAGCATGTAAGTTCATATTCAGGAGAATGTATCTTTCCAGTGAGATGAGGGAAATGTTCCAGTTCTATACTCTTTTTTATCTTTCAATACCATCATGTTCCTATTTGTGAATGATATAATAAACAGCTTTTGCTGTCACATGGTATTCTAGTCGTAGTAGGGGGCAATTGAAATCCAAGCTGTTTTCCTCATGAAATTTTATAAACATGGGCCTGAATATTGGCATTTGATGCAATTCTAATTCATAACCTTATTTCTGATGCATACTGAAGATTGTCAACAGCATTTGATGACATGATAAAAGCATTGATCATAGTTGTCATTGCTTTTTTTTTACCCTTAAAAAGAAAGACTATAAACACATAACATTCTGCTGGATGAAGTTTTTTTTTTTAAAAAAAAAAAACTACAAGCACAGAGCATTGATCATAGAACCAGAGTGCACTTATCTTGTGTGGGTAAATTCTTGGACCAGCTTTAATAGCTAATTAGGTTGTTGATGATGATGAACTGGGGAAATATTGATTTTGTTTGAAAGTTAGACATTGAGAATACTTGATCCTTTCACTAAAAAGGTTTTGGAGTAAAATTGGACCTGGTTGCCTGTTTTTTCCTGCAACCTTTTCTGAGTTAGTAAACGGAGAGATGAAGTCTTGGTTTCATAGGCTGAGGATTTTTCCACCCTTCTCTTTGTTAGGATAGTTTTTGCATGCTTATGGGGTTGTTACTTGAGCTATTGATAGATATCTTGTAAGGGGCTTTTTGGTAGAAATGGATGAGATTGTAGCGTCCTTTTGGTGCCCTTTTTTTGTTTTTATGGTTGCTTTTTCTTCCTTTTGGTGCTCTTTTATAGCCCATAACCCCTAACTATCCTAGCTACCTCTTAACCCCTTTAACTGATCCTTATTTATATATTTGTTACATAACATAAAACATCTCTTTGGAAAGCATAGGGCTATGGCAATTTCCTCTCAAAATTAATCTTCGTTAGATGAACCATGGATTCTATCAGTAGCTTTTCTTTTTTAAGATATGCAGAGGGACTAGACTCCTTATTTGTATTAGTTGAAAAAGGAAAAAAAATTCTGCTCATTTGTAATTCCTTTCTTTCTAAAATCCTTGTTTTATATAAATTAGTTTTTCCTGGAGATTTACATTTTAAGTTGTTTTGGAGGACCAAAGGATCTAAAATACAATTTGTGCTGACTGAAATACCTCTCTGAACATGTTACTAGTTTGTTGCAACAAAGTTAAGATAGGTTTGTTAGTTTCTCACTCATGGCAATAACTTCAGTAGACATATCTTTGAGAGCAACTAGTAAATTATTAAAAGCTTTAGTTTACTTTGCGGAGGATATATGATAACTATTGAAATTTTAACAATCACATTATATCTATTGAAAATTACAAGTTTGCGTGAGTGAAGTTAAAATGATTGAAAGCGGGAATTAATATATCTAAACTCAACAATAATATTAGGAAGATCAGTTACTTTCTAATTAAATCTTCGTTTAGATAGGGAGGAAAATAAGGAGATGATACTATGAGGGAAAACTCCCAAACATGGTGTTTTAGCACTTTTGGGAGTTTTCCCTCCAAGTATTCTCTCCTCCCTATTTTTCTCTCTATCCAAGTGAAGGGTAAGAGTATTTTGGTGAGGATAAGTTAATAATTTTTTTTTTTTTTTTTTTTTGCCACAACATATTTTGTCTCAATCCTTCATAATAAATTACAAATGTAAAGTTTCTACTAATAATTAATGTAGTTTTTTGGTCTCTATCAATAATTTTCCCTAAAATGATTGCAGCAGAGTAAGTTAACACCGAATAAATGCAAGAATCTACTTAAATAATCATGCTCGAAGTACTATGTTTGGCAAGGAAGGTTACAAGGGTGCAATTAATGTGCATCCCTCCAATGTCTTTACAACCTTCTCTGTTTTCTTTTTTGCTAGTTTTGTTTAAACAATCCAGATAATTCTGAAATTCCTATTTTCCAGTGCAGGACACTTGGATGAGCATATACGAACACACCCATCTCATCAGCAATTTTACTCACACAAGCTTAAACGTCTAGTAAGCTTCTACTTTTTCTTGACCATTCTTTTTGACAGATTCCTGAGTTCATTGATTTGGATGTATTTTACGTGATTGGTAAATATCATGGAAGTTACATGATATATTACTTTCTGCCATTAAAGGTCATTATGCCAACTGAAGTTTTTCAACTTGATGGAAGATCTTATTTGAATACTTTTTTTTTTTTTGGGGGGGGGGGGCTCCGTATTAGTGTATTCAGATTCCTGGTGTCCTGATTTTCCTCAACTTTTTCCCAGTATATGAGGACACATTTTCTCTTTAAATAAATTATCTTCAAGCTGATAGACAGGTGGAATACATGGGATTTCTTGTTGTTCTGTATCATTGGAAGACAGCTTTTGCCTTTACGAGAACTAAACGTCAAAGTTGAAAAAAGGTTTTTTTTTTTTGGGTTTGTTGGGGGGGGGGGGTTGTAGTTCTACAGATATATGTTAGGAAAGAGGAAGACTGTAGCGTTATACTGCCACGCTAGACTTCTGTTGGAGTGTTAAGTGCGATTGAAATAGATCCCCTGAAAGTGCATTGCTACTGGAGTAAAGAGAGGAAAAAGAGAGGGACAGGTAAGTTCCACCTTCCCTAAGTGGGACTGGGAGTCTATAACGTATCTAGAGCTAAACATTTGAGGCACCAAAATGAAAGCTACATGACTCTGCAAAGAGTTGACAGTAACAATAAGAGCCGTTATATGCGTGTTCATGTTAAACGTAGTATGTAATATGTATGGACTATGGTGTTGTCCATGAGAGGTAGCGCCAATTATGAATGCTTAATCAGAATCCTGGTGGGTGGTGTATCCTATATGATGGTTCATATCTGTATTCGATGTAGGTAAAATGTTGCAAGTCAACTTGCAAGGTGACTTGCATCAAGGATCTGTTGGTTTGCCATTACTGCTTCAGTAAAGCCTTTGAAAAATTCTACGACATCTATACTGCAACTTGGTATGTGATCTCAATATCATCATTCTCCAATCTCCATCTTCTACTGAAGCTGAAGCATGCAATTATACAAAGAAAGTTCTCGTTGAATACTTCACCATATAATGTTTGATGGGATCTATCTATTCTATTCCCTTTCTTCAATTCTTTGTTGCGTCAATTGCTTGTAAATGCAGGAAAGGAGCTGGTTTTGCAATTATTTCAGGTTCTATATGCTGTGAGGATCACTTCGCCTGGTAAAAAAAATTTAAAATCGACTATTATATATTGTTGTCTTAGCGTGTTTGGTTTTATGTTGAAAATCACTAGGCAGTTTCTGCGGAAGCAGCTAACTGCCGACTTCCATCAAAACAGTGATTTTGATTATTTCCAACGTGAAACCAACATACTCCAAGAGCATGTCAAAGATTGTTTGGATGGAGAGAAAAATGGGAAGAAAATAGGGAAAAGAGAAAACTAGAAGGAGAAATTCCAAAAATAGTAATTTTTTAATCATTTTTAAGAGTTTTCTTTCCTTATTTTTCTTACCATCCAAACGAAAGGTAAGTGTCAAACGTTGGTGGTTTTGGCCTTATCAAATAATAACACATCATCATGGAACAGGCACAGGATGAATTGTTTGAATGCAGACGTGGAAGAGACTGCATATATCATCCGGAAGAGTGGACATAAGAGCAAATATACTCGACTCAGTGACTTCATTTTTTGATGATTGATACACTTTTTCCTAAATTATGATTTGAAGTTTCTCATCAGATGTACACAATATCAGAGCAATGAATCGTACATTTTGCTAGAATCTTTTAAATCTTTGAGAGGAGGGTAAAAATATCATGTAGTTGAGAAAGTTGCATGTTTGTATATAGGCGTTGAACTAATGCGGTTGAGTTCTTCCCCATTTAATTGAGGGGTCTAGCAGATCGAGTTCTTTGTTGGAGTTGGAGTAATCTAGTTTAGCTCTGGGATATTTATAGCTCTGTCCTACGCTTTCTCGATAACAATTTAATTTCCACGGAATGATTCGCTAATGATATTTTTGATCGATAAATTATTTTATTATTATTTTCCACAATAGAAAGCTTGTAAAGTTCAAGTGAATTTTAAATTAAGAATGGAATATTTGTGGAATTTAAATTCTTTATGTTGAACAAAAGATTGTTCTCAAATACATATATATATATATACATACATACATATAAATGTATTTAAAAAAAGAGAGAAAGAAAATGACCTGGGCAAAATGATGAGAGATTGCACGAGCAAGTGTGCGTCCGTCCGTGTGTATTTTCAACTAGTTTTTCGGGATCATAAGATTTTAGACTTGCAAGTAGTAAACCAGACAAGCAAATATTTTCCAATGATTTGATTTTTGCATCATTTTAATTTGTAATTTTAAAAAGATAAACAAAAATTTTTCATTAAAAATATTTTACAATTTTAATGACGGATCATTTAAATTTAAATATGATAAATTTAAAATAACTTTAAAGATAGAAATTGATTTTATTCCAATCAAATACTATTTTCTTTTCCATATATAGGTGTGTATTTCCTTTGTTGGTAAATGAATACTCATTTCATTTTAAAATATAAAGTATTTTTTAAGGAATTAAATATTTATTAAGATGTAATTATTATTTTTTTTTTTAATGGTATCCATATTGATAAATAATTTTATATTTATTGTAAGATGTTTAATGAAAGTAAATATAAAAAGATAAGATTAATTTAAAAGTAGGTAACTACTTTCTTAAAATGAGATTCAATTAAAATATTTTATATTTTTAAATGAAGGGAGTAAGTTATAGTAATTTTTACCTTTCTTTTAGTTTTAAATAATAATTAATATTTATTTTCTTAAATAAAAAATAATTAAATAAAAATTAAAAATGAAAACAATACCGGGGCTTTTATTTACAGAGGTAGCAAAGGAATAAACGAAAAAGTTTGTGTTGTTATCTTTTACTATTGGGCTATCGAAGAGCTGTTACGACTTGAGAAATTGATCGGAACTCTTAAAGGCAGAAACAAGCGAAAAAGATCGATAAAATCCGACTAGGTTATTCCGGTATCATCTGATAGCAGTGATTTCCAATCTTCTTCAGCCTAATTGTTATCTGCGCCTCTCAGGTACTTCATTTGTTCGCTTCGAGTGTTTCTCACGCAAATTCTGAAAGCAGGTTTCTCTCTTCTTATCTGCTTTTGGTGCGACTTTTGAATCAATTATCGCCAGATTGATATTATTTCTTTGAGAATACGAGAAACTCTGATTTCTAAAATTGAACATAATCGACTCGTCTATATATTTTTGTTCAATTTCCTTCGATGAATTTTTCCCCGTTCACTAGCGGTGACTTATGAATTTCAACTTTCCTTTCTACCGTTTTACGATACGCGTTTTGGTCTGCAGTTGATTTGGTATACAATTGATTATGGGAGGTCATGGAGGTCTGAATATCCTTCCCCAGAAGCGCTGGAATGTGTACAATTACGAGAACAGGGAGAAAGTACGGCGCGATGAAGAGGAAGCAGCAAGAGAAGAACAGTTGAAACGTGAGCAGGCGAGAAAGAGGGATGCTGAGTTTCGTCTGGAGCAGCTGCGGGCTGCTCGAGGTTTGGCTCCGCTAATTAAACCTCAGGAACCTGATGAATCAGAGCCAAAATCTGGCCACATTAATCTTTTTGAAGGTATTAAGATTTTTGACCCAATTAAAGGATTAGAAGATGACAGTGCTGTAGAAAGAGATGGGTCGAAGAAGAAGAAGATGAAGAAAGAGGATCCAAAGCCCAAAATTGTGACTCCAGATGATGAGAAATACAGGTTAGGTTATGGGCTTGCAGGGAAGGGGGTTAAGCTTCCTTGGTATCTCCAAAAACCAAATGATGACGCTCATAGTGATAATGGCTTTGATGATGATCACCCAAAGGATGAGAAAAAGAGGAGTGGGAAGAAAACATTGGAAGAGTTGAGGGAAGAAAGACTGAAAAGAGAGAAGCGAGAGAAGGAGAGGGAGGGAGCTTTGCTGCGACAGAAGCGCCAGCGCAATAGAGATGTTACTGGCTATAGGAAGTTTTCCAGGTAAATATACAAATATTGTATTCTAACTTTCTTTGGTGTATCATTTTTTTCCTCTTACGATTTAAATGATATGTCTGTGTTATATCTTTAACAATAACTTGTAATATCAGTGCGACTAAAAGTTTAAAGCGCATACAAAATTTTGCTTGGGAATTATATTGGGAAGAATAGATATGATTTACCGAAATGCATTTAAATTGTTTCTTTATTTTTTGTTATGTTTGAATGAATTGGTATGTTCTTTTTTCATTGATTTGATGTTTTTCTTTTTAAATTATCGGAGCAGGAACTCTTTTCGTGGTCAGTAGGTCGTCTTGTATGAGAATTAGCTTGTAAATTCCGATACCATTTTCTCAGCTTAATGGATACTTGTGTTATGGCAATGCTATGGATCTCATTTTATTTTTCTGCTTAAGGTTATGATTGTTAAATTTCTACGATTCTGTGGGCTTTGTTGAATTATAACTTGCCTACGTAGTGATTTTTGGAACCAAATGTGACATCATGCGTTCAATTCAAAAATAATTGGCTGGTGGTGCTGATAAACTTCATTGCCTCTTTCGTGTTTGTAGAAAATATTCATGAAATTTAAATTGAAGGTTAAGTTTTTACATTTCAGTGTTGTGGAACTGGATTGAAAACGTGAATGTGAGGACTACAAAAATAATTGGTGAGGATGTCATGATTGAGTTTTATGAGAGAATTCAACAGAGTTTGATATGTAGACCAATCTACTTTATTTGGTTCTATCAAAGGATTTGTTTGCAATTTGATGCATAGAGCATGCAAAAGGTGGATTATACATGTGACTGGCTGTAAATTTCACTAGGATTATTGTCCTAAATGGGAGTTCATAATTGGTTTTGGCTCGCTCTATGGTATTACGTTCTGATTTTTAGTATTTGATTTGCAGAAAATTTGATTTCAATTTGTAGTAGCATTAAGTTACATTTTTGTTTGATGCTGACTATTGGATCAACAGCATATTTTATTGTTGTTCGGGTGGTTACCACCACATCTGTTGTGAATTTAAATACGAAACAGGCCAAAAAGGTTTATCACTAAAACAATCACTGTAGTTGGGCTATGTTGCCGCCGAAATTGAACAAACCAAAGGAGTTTATATTCTGAAATTTTGAACAATTGTTGAAAACAGGAGAATGGTCAAGAATGAAGATGCAACATGATTTTCTTTTTTATGTGAAACACATCCAGTTTGTGCTTCATATCTTTGTATCCATTATCACAACAATTAATGGAATGCCTGGGCAGTGACCATTGCTGCATTTGGGCTTATGCAGAATTTGATTTACTACTTTGATGCACAAGACTTGTGAAAGTTGACGACTTGATGATTATTGATTAGAAATTTTGAGGCAGATTGGTATAGTTAGGAATTGTAATAGAATAATATAAATGATTGGTTATTCTATTTCCATTCGTCTTTCTAAACTGCTTTGGCATATTATTCAACAGGCGATGATCGAGGCAAGCGAATTTCCTGCTCCTTATCTAGTTGCACCTTGTTTTGCCCTAGTGAGGATCGAGGTAGCTCAATACATGGCAAATTGAAGGCAAATTCACTAGCAACTGCATTTCCACGACATTTCGAGAATATGAATATCACAACCTCATGAATATTGAGTGTATTAGAAATCTGCCCCAGCTTGATTGTAATTGCTTTAGGAATTACTTCCAGTCGAGGAAGATGATCAAAATTGTTTGTATTGACCCTGCAAATTGGAAAGTATGAAAATCAGCTCCACAGTGAATCGGGGGTAAATATTGGCTGGCAATTTTGATTACGCTGTTTTTCGGCTTACTTAACGTTGTACCTGCTGACAATCAGTTCCCATACTGAATAATCCGTTCACTGAGAATGTCACATTATATTGCATGGCATGTAATTTATTGGAACTGTGAAGATTTGAAGAGATGGAAGATAGTAAATGAGAAAAGAATTGGCCTTCTCCCTTCAGACGTATTTTGAGCTCCTCTTGTGATTTTGTCTCTCAGATTCACATCTTAAATCAGTTGCAATAGATTAGTAAATAACTTAGAAAGTACAGGACTGTACCAACAAATGAGCATGCCATGGCCAACATCGTTATTTTCCCCAATTACCTTGCCCAATACAGTACGTCTACCGTCAGATTCCGATTGAAAAACTGTTAAAAGTTGTACGAACATGAGTTTTAGATATATATGACTTTACAATCAATTTCTTTTGTACGAGTTTTTGAATGGCCAACAAAATAATCCACTCCCTACTCGGACGCAGGCGCATCATTTGCTGAAAACTCGCTCATGTTGCTTAGCGCCCCCTCCACCCCAAGTCATTTTCTTTCATGTCCTGTTCTAACTACCACGCATCATGAGTACGCAGCCAGCGGATAATATAGACATGTTCATTCTTCTTGATGAATCGCGTAAGCTGGTTGATTTTGTTATTTTCTGCGAAGTTGTCCACATTTTCTCCCAACAATAAGAAGCAAAATAATTTAGAACTCTACTTTTTAATATTTTCAACAATGGCCATTACTCAGACTGAAACTCTAAAAGGGATTCCACTATATCTCTTCCAAACAAGTGATGAAAAATTCTTATAATCAATCCCATAGGCATCGGGGAAGTGAAGGGGGCAATGGCCTGCTTTGAGTCGGATATGAAATTTCACAATGGATCACAAAATCTGAAATACTCTGTACCTATCTGTTAACCTATAGAGCTCTACTGTTACTATGGGCAAATTGGTGAAATAATTATTTGACCCCAAAAACAAAAAACTAAATTTCATACATCGGTTAATATTAACGAAGATACAATGACCACGTAAGCCAGAAAAAAGAACATGGCAATCTGAATGAAGAACTTGGGATTTTCCCTCATGTTTGGGGATGTCACTGCCCTGGAATACAGAAATTTATAGTATTAATTAAAAACACGGAAACTCCACACATTTAAAAGGGGAACAAATGCAAGCAGAGTACAAGAGAGATAAGTCCACGATAAAAAATTTAAAAAAAAAAGTCAATTCGAATTAAGTCCTAATTTCGTTTTATCAGTTGAGTAAAATGTCACCTAGCAATTCTCTGAGAGAGTCTATGAAATGGCAAGCTCTGTATGAAGACAATGCCAGGTCCAGTCAGAAGAGCTGTGACCGCATTGTCACCCTGCAATTTGGAGATTGCAATTATCAATACCAAGCTTCCGGGGGGAAATAAGAGTGCGTGCTGATAAAAAGAGTCTCAGTAATAGGAGTTACTTACCCCAAACATCACCTTTCTTGCTGGAGCATTGTATTTTGTTTGGATATTAACAGTCGTCGTGACAGCAGCAATGCAAGAAACATCCACGGACAGCATTTCACCAACCTCAAGATTTTTCTGTACAACTAACAAACAGAGTCCAATAAAAGGTCTGAGTAATAAATGAATTACAAACATGAAGAACAGTTTCCATAAGTATAAAGATCATGAGAGAGGTCAGGAATCAGGACGAAAGCCACAGCCTTTAATTGTATTTTTGACAGAAAATAGAAGTCTACCTGATCCACCCGCTACTATGAATGCAAGCCCTTGGCCTGATAGCTTCTGCCTGAGAAATCCCTACAATAACACAAAAATTATCTTGAGATATAAGATGGAGATGTTTGAATTTCAAAGTATCTCAATTTTCCAATATTATTGAAAGTACATTCCATACTGACAGATACCACAGTGGAATTACAAACCCTATTCCAAAAGCTAGTTGTTGAGGTAGGAGAACCAGCGCACTTAAATATTCCATTAAACATCTCATACTATTAATCACGGGACTAGGTATCCAATCCTATCCAATGTCCATCACATATACACACTAACATGCCCCCATTTACAATATTTATCTTTTCATAGAACATGGTTTGTACCCCACTGTCAGGCTAACTTCATAAGCACGTGTTAAGAAGTGAATCTTGCTTCAAGACAACAAATCCCAATGATTGCTTCCAATCTTTTTGGTGGACTTTTTGGGAAGTGAACCTATGCAATAGCGTAAATCATGACACTTTCAACAAACAAATGACCGATTTAGTCCACTGCAAATTACACAACAAGAAATCTTATCCCACTAGGTGAGATCAACTATATGACGTACAACTAATTTAGTCCACTGCAGATTATTCAAACAAAATACAGTGCTTTTCACATACAGTTGTTTGGATGTGTAGTGTAATGAGCCACATGATACTAGCATGGACTTAAATTAACGAAAAAACACAATCCAACCATTCTTTTAAATTGAAGCATGGATTCTTTTCTCGGTACAAGTTGCAACAAAGCCACTCTAAGAGAATCGTTATTATCATCAGCATCTTATCTGTCATTCACAATATCAGTGATGCTACCTCATTAACTCTAAATTAAAAAAAAAAAAAAAGTACATTTTCAACCAATGTGCTAATCGAATTCTGACATAATAATAAAATATATTCTCAGTTATCTATTTAATGGTTGGAGAAAAATTCCAAAGGATCATTTTAGAATACTGAAGGAATGTGAATCAGGCATTTCAGAATTCAGATTATATATGTAGTAATCGTGGCTCTGTGAAAAACTAAATTAAATTGCTCAAAAATAAAAGTCAAGTGCTTTGAGTGGGTAACAAGGTGGTGGATTAATATGGTAGAACCAGATAATGCCTGAAAACAAGTTAAAACAATCCCATGACTGTATCTACTGGTTTTCACTTCCATATAACATGTTCATAAACCAACCATCAAAACGCATATAAGCATTGAAAACTTGCATCAATCAATCACAGCAATAACCTCAAAAGCTGAAAACCAGGTAAACACATCCTAGCAATTATATTATTTGGAACAAACAAGACAATAATTTTGACATAGAATGGCAACCTTCAAGTGACATCAATTTATCAAATACAAAAAAAGAAAAAGGAAACAAATCTTGCATCCCTATTATCTCACCTCAGCACCAGCAACTACATTACGTCCCCTCTGATCAACTGTATTGCTGACCTTTACGTCATTCACAGAGCAAAGAAATGCATCTGGCTGCAGAAAATTTAAGTTTTGGTGAAATTCCAGCTCTCAGATTTAAAAAGAAAATCAACAAAATCTGACCCATAAATATTAAATAATCAAATATAGACCATCTAAAATACTCAAATAAAAATTATTGAAAATCTAAATGGAACAGCAAAAGCAAACACAACACATACCTGGCATAAAATCTCCCCATTAAACATTGCCAAATCAATCTGTATTCAAAATGCACATAACATGTATGAAAAGGACTTTCATCAGTTGGATAAGCTAAAAATGAGAAATGACAAGGCTTCATTAAAATATTTTGGAGGTCAGTGAAGGCACGAACTGGGAGAATTCTGGCAAGAGAAGGAGCAGCAATTCCAACAAATCCATCACTAGGTCCAGAATTCCGAAGAATAATACTAGTTATGGTCTTGCCAAATAACCACTGCCACATGCCTACTTCATTTTCTGGAATGTAGACATTTTCCATTTCAATGGATCCAGACATAAAGCACATGGAACCTACAAATATCAGTTTCATTTAGATTAATACTGAAACAAAGATAGATGAAATCAGAACATAAAATATTGATGTTAAATAAGGATGAAACAAAAATGACAGTGCAGGAGTATTGGAAATCAAAACGAAGAATATCTTGGGCAAACACCAAAGAGATCATCCACCCAAACCCACCTAAACTTAAAAAAAAAAAATCAGGTAATCACATATATTATTAATAAACCAACCCTGGCTTTTTCATCCTAATATGGTACTGAATATTTCTTAAATATCCAAATCCCTTTGCATGTTCTTGGTGTCGCACATGTGAAACCAGATCCCACAGTGGAATCTCAAGTCAAACTTTTTTGAAATTTATTTTAACTCAAATCTTCCCCATATTTTGATGGGGGGACTAAATTTTTCAATAAAACACACATATATATTATTGTGAATAAAAAAATACAATAGCATTTTCCCCCTTTGTTAAAGGTAAAAACAGACAAAGTGAAGGCCCCATGCCACATAGAAACTGTTTTGGTTTAAGAGCATCACCAAATAGCATCATCTAATACTTCTGCCTTTGTCTCATACCAAACTTTGCATCTTCCTTTGTGTCATATATTAGGATGATATGAGTCCCATGCAGTACCTAGTTACAATACAAATTTTGCTGCCATATTAAGGAACAAAAACCAACCAACTCCAGGGTGCCAGAAATTCATTAAATTCGCTTACGGGATTACTCATGGACCAAGAATCACAATGTAGAGGGTCATTTAAAAATCCCTTTCAATGAATTACACCAAAGCTTCATAGTTACCCAGATGCGTACAATTAATTTATATAAAAGAACAGATCTTATCAAACATAAGAAAACCAAATATATTGGTCTCTCATCCTTGTTTGACTCTGATGACCACCATAAAACATCAGCACGCATCATTGGAATAAACCTCCAAAGCATATCTATTAATAACCAGAAATCATGTTTGTGTAATATGAATATTAAATTCAGGTGCATTGTGTCCTATAACTTACCAGGCTTTGCAACAACTTTTTCGTGTGGCTTCAACATTATCTGCATTGCAAGAACCAAAGCCAAAACAGCATTATAATATTGTGAATAGATAACAAAGATAAATAGTGGCATCTTAAAATTAAGGCGTTCATACACTCACCTGAACTACTTGAGCTTCCCCCCCTAAAATCTGAAAAGGTATAACTGAATCTTGCGGGCTCTAAATAATGAAACAACATTAAATCCACTGTAAGACTATGAAGGAGACAAGATAAGAGCAGAGTTGTCTGAAGAATGTCTATCAGTTTTTCCAATTATTTTTTCCAGAAATGGGCGTGTAAAGAATCGTAAAATCAGGAAGAACACTACAAAAGGAGCATGAAGCACCTAGTTCAGATAAAATAATATGTAGCTCTCTCTTGAGCTGATTCTATTGTCATCATCTCCCTTCCCCCCATATAAAATGTCCCTCTATGCAATAAATGCACAAAAACCTAACATGTTGCAGCTTTTTTACATCTACAATAAGAAGATATGATATAGTTACATCAGTTTAATCATCAATGAAAGTTGAAACATGAATACAGCATGATACCGACATTCTGAAACCACAAAGATAGGAAGCGTTTGAGTGCAATTCAGAATTGCCGTGTCAGGCTTCATGCAAGTGTCCCGCATGTATTAAAACACTACAGTTCCATTTTTTAAGTATTGATGCTTTAAACATTTGAATGTGACAGTCAACTGCAATGACTAATGAATACAAGTGTAAAACCTCAATGAGCAAGTGATGAACAGAATATTTGAATGGAGATACTTAAAATGTATTCCTATACTGAAATTTGTGATGTTTACGATTGGTCAATTACCAGTCAGCTTGTCCCTTTTTGCTTCTATTTTTTTGCTGATCATTAAGTAAAGCGACTCCATCAAACTAAACCCCAAACAACAACCTAGATTACAAAAACTTAACAGTAAAACGGATCGCCCTAGTCAAACAATTCAATTCCGATAGTTATTGAGCTTGTCGAAAAGTCATAAATGTGGCAAATATCAATTAGGAATACGAATTAACCTAAGCTATTCTTGATTAGCAGAAAGCAAACGATTGAAGCTCAAGAGCGTGCATCGTCAAGCGCAAGAAGTGATGCCGGTACCTGATAAACGTAAGGCTGAAAAGGCGTCGAGAAAAACGGTGCAGCCATTGCCTAGACAGCAAATACGTGAACTTGCTACCAGAAAGAGATAAAGTCAATAATCGCTCAAATTTTCTATGATTTGTTTTCGCAATTTCCAGATTCCTCCATTAAAAGAACCAGATCCGGCTTCAAGCAATCGTTTCTTCTGTAAAAACGAAGTTCCTTCCTCAGATTGTACAGATGGAATCAGAGGCAGCACATTGTATTTTAACGAAAAGTTTTGAAATTGAACTTCGAGGTGGAAAAAAAAAATTCTAGGAGTATGAAACTCTGAATTACTAAGATGACCTCTCACTTTGATAACAATTTCATCGTATGTCTTCGGATCGGATGGACTTTAACTTCATGTTTGATTTGTTTCGGGCTTCTAGTAATTTCGCATGTCGCATCCCGCAATACTATTTGTCTGACTCTCTGAAATCCAATTTTTGGAGTACACGTGTTCTTTATTCTGATGTGGCTCATTCCTATTGGTTCGCAGTCTATTCCCTACGTGTTCAACACTTCGTATAGCGTCATAGTCTTCTTTTTCAAGGAAAAATGGCACTTGTTTATAAATAAGCAAAATTCATAAATTATAGTTCAGTTTTTGAAAAAATTATATATACATTACGTGGAACTAAGTAAGTTATAAATAAATTTTAAAAAATTAAAAAATTATTAAATTTTTTAAGATTTGAGTGCAATTTAAAATTAAAATAAAAAAATAATAATATTCTTATTAAATATATATACATGACATTATAAAATAATTTATAATTATTTCATCAATAATTTATAATTATAATTCTACTTTTTATAATTGTAATTTTATATATCCAATAATTAAATTAATCAACTTAATTATTAAATATATAAAGTTAAAGTTATAGTTATAAATTACTAATAATATAGTTGTAAATAATTATTAATATTAAAATTTTTAATAACGCATGATTGTTTAATTATTAAATAAGTGAAATTATAATTATAAAAAATTAAATTATAACTATAAATTGCTAATAAAATAGTTTTAAATTAATTATTTAATTGATGTAATGTATTTTTTATAAGAGTCTTATTGCCTTTACAGTATAATTTTTAATTACACTCAAATTTTAAAAGATCGACTGCGGTTTTTAAATTTTTCATGATTTATTTGTGAATAATTCTCTAAATTTTTTGGGACTTGATTGTAATTTGTGAGAGATGTTTAAAGATAATATTGCTCTTATTAGATTACAAGGATGAAGCCATGAAGGCACCTTATAGATTTTCTAAACATGCTCCTTCGTACACAATCCACACTCATCCCCTGGTCGATGAAATCATCTTAATCGCATTTGGAATCCATTGCTTCTGATATAGCATGAGATAGGCTCTCTCATCTTCCCTTGGCTCCAACTTATTCTGGAAACCCTCTCTTACTAATACAACCTTGTCCCATTTTCCTCATATTCAATGTAGAAGACGTGGATGGTGATGATTTGCGCAGAGTCAAAAGTGCTGATGAAAAGTGTGGAGCCTTTAAAGCCATCGGAGAAAGTTTGGAGGCTGTCTTGGCAGGAGGATGGGAGTTTGTGGAGTAATCATTGTAGTCATCAACAAGGGAGACCTACAAGATGATGATACAGTCAAGGAGGGGTTTAGAATATCCGAGGGTTTCGAAACAGTGAGGCCTTGCATTTAAGACAATATACAATGTCATGTGTCTGCTCCTTTCATACAAGCTGGCGTGAGTTTCTCAGCTCCATTCCCACGCATTGTCTTTGCTTGAACCAAGATGGCTTATGGTCGCTGCAAGATGATGATGATGATGATGATGATGAGTTGTTCTCTTTGACTAGGCACAGTTTCTTCGAACTAGGCATCGTGAAGGCTCGTCCTAAGGGCTTTTGGTTGCTAGAGTTTCAGATTCTTCATCAATCAAGATTCAAGTATTGTCAAGGTCAGCAATTTAATGGTAGGGACCATGAAACTGTTGGTGAGGAAACGTCTCCTCTTGTTGAGGAGTGGGAAGGACGTGTCGTGAAAGCGTCATTATTTGCAGCCGAATCCAGTGACGATAGGGGGGGTTTTTGGAATTCATCTTTCAGAGATAATTTCCATGCTTCTCACAAATTACACTTATGTCCTAATAGATTTGGTTGAAATTTTTAAATTTTATGAATTTTTGCAGTTTTTTAAGATTTTGAGCAAAATTTATGGATAGTTTAGCCCTTAATCCGTTCACACATGACAAACATGTGGGACCCATGACCTCTACCTAATAGACATTTTAACTTCTGGGGACTTTTGTATCATTTTTTGATGTTGATGGGTAAAAGTATACTATGTTTAAATTAAAAATATTAGTTACTAATATCTTCTCATAAAATATTTTATAAGTATTTTTTCACTTTAACCTAATTTAACATGTCGAGATGAAAATACCTCAACAAACAAGGGTATTATTGCAAATAAAAATTTAACATGAAAAATAAGAGAGGATGAGACCTTAACATTTGGCATCAAACTAATACCTTTAAATGGAACTTATATTTAATATGAGAGGAAGTAGCATTGTAGTTTCATTATCTATGTTAATTTGATATTTAAATTTAACAAAAAAATTAATATTTTGATCTTTCAAGTTTTAACATGATTATGGCTCGATTCTTCAACTTTATCTTATTGTAATTCAATTCATAAAATTTTAACTTAATGGGTTAAGGCTTGCTCTCTCATCTTTCCACCATTTATAAAATGATCCTTCACAGTCATAATTCATCTTGAGTCATTACCAAATCATCCTTGATGGTGAAAAAATGCAGTGCAAGGGGTTAAATTGATGGAAGATATACTAATTTGAATGTTAATTTATTCTTATTTAGCTACCCACATACATGCATCTCAAGTCATCAATATACTTTATGCATTAAATTGAGTTGAGAGTCAATTTATGTATATGTTTTAAAATTTAAAGGACTAACATGATAAGTCAAAAAAAATATTAGGGACTAAATTGATAAAAATAAAATATGAAAGACAAAATCAACAATTAAGATAAACTTACAAGATTGAAAGTTTCATGATCTCAAAAATCAGTATGTAAGTATTAATTAGAAAACATACTAAGGAGCTAGTAAATACAAGGTTAAAAAAAAATCGTAAGACCTGATTTATAAATAATAATAGTAGTAATAATAATAAACAACGTGAAAAAATGAAAAAAAAAAATATGGTAAAGAGTTAGATACCTAATAACTTGTAGAAAACTTAAAGCAAGGTGGTGCATCGGGGTCAAAGCATGACAAGCAAGTGACAACTTATTGGGTATGTTGAGTATTGTGGGAGCCACTCCCAGTGTCTCCATAATCGTCTTCCTCCTGCAGACACATCAGCAGTTTTTTTTTTTTTTAAAAAAAAGAATCCATCTGTCCATGTAAGTACATGAGTAAAAAAAAAAAAAAAAGCCAGGAAGAAAAACTCAATCTGTATTATTGAGAGGTTGTATGATTGATGAGAAATGTAACGAATGATCATATTTACAGACAAGACTAACCAACTCTCCATTCTGTTTATGATCTGCACATACCCATAAATTCATGGGGAAAGCCGTATGAGTGTGGTACATGAAGTTTAATGGATTTGTCTTAATCTTTCACTTTCTACCATTCTCTAACATTAATTTCTTAAAAAGGAAAATGATAAAAAAAACACTCTCAAAATATACAAATAACAATTAAATACTGTAAAATATGATGATCATATTTAGCTCTTAGAAACTTATCTGACATATTGATTTTTGATGAAATGACATATTTGTCTTCAATGACTATTATAAAAAATTAATTATTTTGATTGAGTTATTAATTAAAACATAATAAAAAATGATTATTTTTTTTCAAATTTAGTTGTTAATTAAGTGCAAGTAATTATTTTCATAAAGAAGTAGTCACTTTTAATCCGTTTATAAATAACAAATTTGTAGAAAGGAAATTATCATTTTCTATTATGTTTTATTTAATAATCTAGTTAAAATAGTCATTTCATATAACTAAGAGCAAATATATCATTTTGTCAAAAATAAAAATACCAAACAAGCCCTTAGGAATAAATAATTATACATGTTACAGTATTTGATTATTACACTACTTAAAAAATAAAATTTAGTGAGGAACAATGTCATTTTTCCTAATTAAATTACATTTCTAAATTTGTAACTAGAAAAAAGCTTGCTAAATTTAGTAAGAGATCATATTTCCCTTACTAAATTTTAGCGAGGGACTGAATCTCTTACTAATCCTATTCAAAATTCAATAATTTAGCGAGGGATTAGTCCTTTACTAAATATATTTATATTTAAAAATAATAATTCCACATCACTTACCATATGTATGTCATTTCATAATAATAGTAATTTGTTTATAAATAACAAATTTGTAGAAAGGAAATTATCATTTTCTATTATGTTTTATTTAATAATCTAGTTAAAGTAGTCATTTCAAATAACTAAGAGAAAATATATCATTTTATCAAAGATAAAAATACCAAACAAGCCCTTGGGAATAAATAATTGTTACATGTTACAGTATTTGATTATTACACTACTAGAAAAATAAAATTTAGCAAGGAATGATGCTATTTTTCCTAACTAAATTGCATTTTTAAATTTGTAGCTAAAAAAAGGCTTGCTAAATTTAGCAAGAGATCATATTTTCCTTACTAAATTTTAGTAAGAAACTGAATCTCTCGCTAATCCTATTCAAAATTCAATAATTTAGCAAGGGATTAGTACTTTGCTAAATATATTTATATTTAAAAATAATAATTTCACATCACTCGCCATGTGTGCGTCAACTTGTAACATGTCCACCAATAACCTCGTGCCCCATCAACCATCATGTCGCCTATCATCTCATGCCCTATCGCCTGCCATAAGTGTGACAACTCATGACATGTTATTGTCCACTATGTGACATATCACTTGTTTCTTACCATATTATATATTCATTATATTTCTGTCAAAGTCAATATTTGAATCCTTGACCTCATATCTTCTAACCTTTATACTCTCCTTTTTTGTTAGTTGAACTGAAAGGTATTTGCAGTCATTATATGAAAAATTAAATACATATTATTTAACTATATAAATATATCAAATAATATATTATAAAAATACACACATATATACATATTAAATTTTACTTTCAATTATTAATATGTTAAAAATATTTATATTTTATTTAAATTATTATTTATATTATATTTTTAATAAAATATTATTTTGTTAATGAAAATAACTTAAAATAAATAAAATATTAAGTATTAAATAATTTTATTATGAGTATTTTAGTTAATTTTTATTGTAAATAAAAATAATTAAATATATAATTAAAAGTCATTACCAAAAGTTTTTTTTTTTTTTGCAGTTATTAGTTAGGAATAGAATCCCCCACTAAATTCTTCACTAATTATCTTATTTTAAAAAGGAATTGACAACCCTTCACTTTTTTCCTTACTAATTATTTTATTTTAAAAAGAAATTAACATTTTCTCACTAATTCTCTTATTTTAGAAAGGGATTAGTAGTCTTTTGCTATTTTTTTTATTAATTATCTTATTTTAAAGAAAAATTGACAATCCCTCACTAATTTTAAATTAAGCTATGAAATCAATAATCCTCATTAATTTGATATTTTAGAGAGAAATAGACAATTTATTGATAAATTTTTTCACTAATTTATATTTTTGTTGTAGTATTATTTGCACATTTCACTTGCAATTTGATGCCAACAAAAACGAGCTGTGGCCTAGCAACATTGACTTTTATAATATAATATTAAGAAGAGTAAAAAAGCAAATATAATATACCTAAACTATATGTTCAAGAGTGTTAGAATTCTAGACTCACTTTTTGTGTAATGCTCCTCTTCAAATTTTAAAATTGATATAATCTGTTGCTCCTTACTATTAACAAAAATTAACTCTGACTATAAGTTAACAAAAAAATGATAAAAATGGAACTCAAAAAATATAGAAAAGGGCCAAAAAAATTACAATGAAGGATTAAAAAATTATAGACAATGATCCAAAAAAACATTAAAAAAGACTTAGAAAATTTATTAGCCCTTATTTTGTAATTTTTGAGGTCTTTGTTTTGTCATTTTTCAATCAATTAATTGTCAAATTTAGCTTTTGGTAACAAGAAAATCAAACTGCATCATTTTTTAAAAATTGAAGGATAATATTACACAAAAAGTAAGTTTAGAATCTCAGATACTTCTAAACCTATAATTTAGGAGTCAATTTACATTTTTACCCTAAAATAATTAATTATATAATGTTATTGAAACAATGTAATTTTTAATCCTTCAATTTTATCTTAGCTATCGATTTGGTCTTTTAAATTTAATTTTTATCAATCCAGTCCTTTAAATTTATTTCAATTATCAATTTGGTCTTTATTTTTTAAAAAGGAGGTAACATATGGATAATAAAATATTAATGACAGCTATGAGCTATGTAGATTAATAAAAAGAAATATAATTATTTAGGTAAAAAAACTTTGAATTGTAAAAAACAAGAAAACAAAACCTAGTGCAAGGGATTATACTAATAAAAAACTAAATTAATTTGAAGATTAATTTGTTATCATTTAACTACATATACATGCTAAGTCATTAATATATTTTACATATATTAGATTATGTTAAGAGTCAATTTATGCTTTAAAACTTAAAAGATTCATATGATATTACAAAAAAAAGGGACCAGGTCAATAAAAATTAAAAATTAAACTTAAATGACTAAATTGATAACCTAGACAAACTTGAGGGATTGAAAGTTTCATGATTCCATTATTTTAAAATATTTATAATTTATTTATATTGAAAAATTTGATGATAAAAATTTATAAAAAAATACTCTTTCCAGTTTAAAATATAATAATTTTCCCTTCTTGGCTTAAAATATAAGTAAACTAGTATATGTAAAAATTATTTTTTTTCCATTTCAACTCTTATATTTATCAACCTAGATTTTTGTGTAAAGTTATTTTTCACTTATCATAAAGTGCATCAGTAATTGGGACTAAGGATAAAAGGAGAAAATAATATATATTTTTATGATAATAGGGACTTTATTGGAATTCAAATTTTTCCTAAAAACTGTTTATATCTTGAATTGAAAAAGCATTAATTTAGTCAATCATGAATCTATATATCATTAGAGGCAATAATTTGGCTAAGTTTGATAAATAAGCCTGAATAAGCTCAAAAAATCTTAAAAAATGACTTAAAAATTTGGAAGATTTTCTTTATTTCAAGCTTATTTAAATTGTTTGAATAAGTTCAAAGAAATTCAAGTTAAATCTAAATTTGAACGGGTTTAGTCTAAATACCCAAATTATTTTTTAATTATTAATTAATAATATGAAAATAACTTTTATCTCAACTTTCATATAGCCTTCGTAAACCCTCTCTTAGACTTTCAATTTGCACATTTTGTACTTTTAAATGAAGTTTTAATGTTCTAACAATAGTGTGTTTTGATTATTTTTGAAAATATTTAAAAAAAATGAACACAAAAGACTAATTCACGTGCTTTCATTAGTATATTTTTTCCATGACTGGTCTCACTTTAATAAGGATGGATAAAATGAACGTTCGAGTGCTACGTTGCTCAAAAATCTTAATTTTTTAAGATAAAAATTAAAATTAAATAAAAAAAGAAAAAATATAATATAATATTTAACAATTAGTATATTTTGATCGGTTTGAATAAATTTAAGACATTAAGCTTGGGCTTGACTATAGAAAACTTTTTTATATATTAAAATATTTTAAACTCATTTGAATATACTAGCCTAAATAAACATGGCTCATCCTACGGGCTCTATGTATCATATGTAGGGAAGACATATGGTGTAGGATGACTACCTTGTATTTATATATTTAATAATTAACTACTTATTAAAGGAAAAATTATTCATGGGAAAAATTATGCTAGGAACTGTGGAGGTCAACTAGCCAACAGATATTGATTTAGTTATTAAAAATTTAATCATAATTCAAAAGATTATGAGATTAAATTTTGTTAGTAACATGCAAACTTTATTGATCAATGATTTGTAAGTACATATCTAAATATTTTTTAAATTAAAAATATATTTTGATCTTAATAAATTTATAAAACTCAACTCATTTAATAAATTAAATCAAAAATCTGCCACGAGTTAGTTACTGAAAAGGGAAAAAATGATTTTAACGGCTCCTTTCTTTCACGGTTGAAATTATAAGACGTAAATGTAGCTATAAGAGAAAAAAGACATGTCTATTTCTTTTCATCCTCAACTTTTTATTAGGAAGATCCTGACAAAGTGTTTAATAAGATTACATTTCTTATGCTCATATTAATTATTAATTAATATAACTATATAAGAATAATTTAAAAAAATATTAAGTATCCTAAATTAGACTAAAAGTTTTTTTAAAAAATTTTAAAAGTTGAATGGGAGGAGCTGTTATTTTATTTTTATTTTCTCTTGTAAATGAGTGCAAGTTCTTTTAAAAAAAAAAATTGAGTGCAAGTTGAATTTAGTTAATAGTCTTGTCTATCAACCTGATGGTCCAAATCTGAAGAGATTAATAACAGGAAAGCGGAAAGTAGATACGGAGAAAGTTGAGTGTACAGCTGTGAGCGTGGGTGGAAGAAGAAGCAGTAGATTTGCTGTCATCAAAGTCAAAACAGAAAAGTGACTATTAACGCGTGTGAAAGGAACGAAGGTTCCTTCATACAACAACTCTCTCCACTTCGGCTTTGACTTCTCGTTACCTGGATCAAGGGGACGATGGATCTGATCAGCTGCGTTGGAGAATGAATCAGGTATGCTGCATATTCATCTTTCTTCTTCTTTTTCTCCTTCTTCTTCTGGTTCTTTTCGTGTTTTGTTCAATATCAATACGATTTCTGTTTTTAAATTTAGTTTTTCATTTTCCATATCTGGTCTGTTTGCTCGTCTACTGATGGAAATTGTAAACTACAGAAAAGGCCAATCATTGAAGATATTTATTGTTGATTGCTTAGGATTGAACAAACTATTTCATATATGGAACGAAAATGGTTGGAGATAGCTACGAGTTGGGACTGTTAGACAAGGATTCCCAGATAAAATGACTATAGATAATTTCCAAATAAGCTCAATTTGATTTTCCCTATTAGGCCTCTGAATCCGGATCACGAGGCTCTTACGCATATTAAGGAAAATTACGTCATGACGTTATAGTTTTAGAGACTCCCTGTCCCTTGGTTCAACACCTAAGCAAATTTTAATTTGTGAAAAATTATATTAGTCCCACAGCAGACGCTTGGTTTAAATTTGGGTGTCTGACCAGATGCCAAATTTGGAGATTTTGAATTTCTGATAGTATTTTAATTTCAACGCCTGATAGCTTTTGAAATTACGGTGAGCGCTCATGCACTGCTCATGTATGGGAATTAATTTAGTTATTTCCTTTTAAAAAAGAAAACCTGCAAGAAAATAAGTGTCTGTGGTGCATATAAGTGCAAACTTTAGTGACTTATTGTCATGTAGTCCATTGTGAACCTTTTTCATCTAAATGTTTGATTGTTTACCTTTGAAAGGAAGTAAGTTGTCGTTGTCATTGTTCTTTTTCTTCATCTTGATATTTGTAAAACTTTCTAATTTCTAATTGTCAGTATGATTTGGTGGTCTCTAGGAACTTAGCATCCCATGATCTGATTCAAGCTCTGAACTCTGGAACTGGCCTGTTTTATTTTCTCAAGAGTTTAATATTCAGAAAGTTGTACTACTGAGGAGATTTTGGGCTCTACTGGAGGCATTAAATATCTGCTTTATATAATGAGATGAGAAAAGCATTACAGCATTCTGCTTTCATCACAATGAGAAAGTTATCACGGCGGTGCTCTAGGCACAAAATTGATTGGAGAAGATTAATATTTATTGGGGCCACTTTGGCAATATCTTTTATTTTGTTTCTGATGCTTGTAAACAGTCGTCAATTGGACAAAGATTACCTTTCTCCTCTTGAATCAGTTTCATTGAACCAATCCTTTAGCAACACCACACTGTCAAATGAATTTCTAGAAGAGGCCAGACATCAACAGGTTCACCTTAGCCAACCTGCTTCAGTTGTTTCACCTGATGTGTCTAACAGGTTGGTACAATCCGTTCCAGTTCAACTAGAGAGAGTGGAACCTCATCAGAGCAATATTTCTGTATCTGGGGAACAGGAGGACAAAGCGTTTGCCCGTAAAACAGCAATTATTACACTTTCCCCTCCTCATGGATTTGTCTCTTCCAGATCGCAGGTAGAAGTTGACGAGACTTTGAACTTACTTCTTTCTTCTTTTAAGTATGATGGGGGGAGGTGTCACAAATAATTTACTCGATATATATCTCAGAGGTACATACGGTCTATGTTACCTAATGAGGCCCTTGTATATGCAAGGAAAGAGATTGAGTACGCACATCAAGTTGTTGAAGATTCAGATCTCTACAGTCCTCTATTCAGGAACGTTTCTGTCTTCAGAAGGTACGATGTCATTAAAAAAATCTGCTTTGTTTTGCTTATGTCATGTTCTTTTGCAGAGTTCTATTATGATTTGCATGTGTTGATTACTGAGCAAATTGTCTCGCATATTAAAAGTCTACCAATGTGAAACCACATTGTGAAATTGAAATTTCTTGAAGTTTCAGTCCACAACTGGTGAGTTATTTTTCACTTCCGTGACTGTTCAAAGAAGAGGAAAGGGCAATCCTTTACCTTCTTGCTCTAAAACCCCCTTGATTGTAGTCAATGTGGGCTGACAGCTGTTTGCTGTGTAACTCTATGTATCGTGCTCATGCTACTAGTGAGTTCATAAAGGTTTTAATATGAATTTATAATCATGTGTATCAAGGAACCACTCAATGAAGCAGAGTTTCTAACTTCAGAACATTCTTCATAAAGTTCATTTGGTTTGGCAATGTGAAGGTGGCAATGGATCCAGGATTAAACTATCAAATCACCTTAGAGATGAAATAAAGCACCTACAAATGTTCAACCTCAGGGATTTAGCATATTGCAAAGAGTTAGAAGATTTGGGAAACACATCATTGTAGCATATTAGTCTTCCATTAGGGAACAGCTGTGGCTTTGTGTTTCGTTGTTCTTAACTCTATTCTTGTAGTTCATTTCAAAAATTTCTTTCTTGCACATTGGCGTCATGCATGTGAGGTGAGAGTAAAAAGTGGTAGTGGTGTTTACTGTTCATGACTCCTTAGTTCATGATTGCGGACATTTGCTGGTATTGTATAAAATATAGGAAGGTCTGCTGATTATGTCTTTGTATTGTACTGTGCCTTGCGTCATGCTAATAGCATTAATGTCACATGACACACTCCCCATGATTTTCATTGTTTTATCCTAGTTGAAAATTTGTGACAAGACATCTCAAAGAAATGTTGTGACTCAATTTCAGGAGTTATGAATTGATGGAAACGATACTTAAAGTTTATATATATCCTGATGGATCAAGACCCATTTTCCATAAACCTTTCCTCAAAGGAATCTATGCTTCTGAAGGATGGTTTATGAAGTCAATGAGAGAAAACAAGCAATTCGTTACTAAGAACCCCAAAAAAGCTCACTTATTTTATTTGCCATATAGTGCCCGTCAACTGGAGATGGCTCTCTATGTGCCTGGATCTCATTCTTTGAAACCATTGTCCATCTTTCTAAGGAACTATGTGAACAAGATTGCTGCAAAGTATCCATTCTGGAATCGCTCACATGGATCAGACCATTTCCTTGTTGCTTGCCATGATTGGGTATGTAGCATATCTCTGTTTTCCATAAATTTGCTGCTGAGTTGAATCCAATTATTTATTTGGATGGAGTGTGATAATTGTTTTGAGTCTTACAATTTCCCCCTTTTTTTGGGAAGAAGCTAGACACGATATTAAGGCTAATTAATAATTCCTTTTGTTGTGCACTTTGTTTTGTATGATACATTTTACCCTTTTGACTAGAGCCTAATTACAACTACAATACATCAACTTTAAAATGTAAGAAAGCACCCTATCTTCTTAAAAATTAATAAATGTTAATTTCCAATCGCATTTAAGGTCTGATTGCGTAGGGAGCATGTCACGAAATGGAACCCCTTATCCCCTCACCTACCCCAGAAATCTGTAGTCTTTTCCCTTTCACCATTGTGATTGAGCTCATTGTAGTCCGTGCACAGGAGATGGAAACACATTAAAATTGGAGAATTATAGAATTGGATTTAGCTCATACTCCTTCCGGTCCTTATTATAAGACATTTTCAACCGTTTCACACATGTTAAGAAAAGTTAGTTTTTTCTTGATATATTAAAATAAGTAATATGTACTTTTATTTTTATCCTTGGTTTTAAATAATAATACAATTACATTAAATATCTTCACGCTAATTAAAAAGGGGTAAAATTGAAAAAAGCAATTTAATTATTACAAGATGTCTTATATTTTGGATCAAAAATTAGTTTTAGAAGGTGGTTTATAAATAGGATCGGAGGGAGTATATAATAAGCCAATTTGGGGCAATAGAGGAGAGCAGCAAAAGAAGCCTAATCTTATTAGGTGGGGGTTAGCTATATGAATTGCACTATATCATTATGCTCTATCAATGGCTAACTCCTTGGATATATCCTTTACCAAAAGATTCTGGTCAACAACTTTTTGGGTATTCTTTATGGGACAATAGGGGAGAAATTGAACACGCACAAAAAAAGCCAGCGTTTTCCGTCTGGTCTGTTGACATAAAACAAAATAGCCAGCTAGCCTTCTAAGTTCCCCCTGTGAAAGAAAAGAACTGGCTATATTTTCTCCTCTGTTTTTGGTCTTTATGAGTCACATTGGTCTGATGAGAAGCTCTACGTAATCTTTGCAGGGTCCTTATACAGTGACTGAGCATGATGAACTGGCCAGAAACACCATTAAAGCTCTGTGTAATGCTGATACGTCTGAAAAAATCTTCATTTCAGGAAGAGATGTTTCCCTCCCAGAAACTACCATAAGGGCACCCAGAAGACCTCTTAGACATGTTGGTGGTAACAAAGTATCACAACGTCCAATTCTCGCCTTCTTTGCTGGAAGCATGCATGGTCGAGTACGTCCGAAACTTCTAAAGCATTGGGGTGGTGAAAAGGATGGAGACATGAAAATTTTTCAGCGTTTACCTCAGTTAGTTTCCAAAAGGATGACTTACATTCAGCACATGAAATCAAGTAAATATTGTCTATGTCCAATGGGCTATGAAGTGAATAGCCCAAGGATAGTTGAGGCCATATATTACGAGTGTGTTCCTGTGATAATTGCAGATAATTTCGTCCTCCCTTTCAGTGAAGTATTGGATTGGAATGCATTCTCTGTGGTGGTGGCCGAGAAGGATATTCCGAGGTTAAAGGAAATTTTATTGTCCATTCCCATGTCAAAATATCTTACCATGCAAACTAATGTGAAGATGGTGCAGAAGCATTTCCTTTGGAACCCAAAACCACTAAGATATGATCTGTTCCACATGATTTTGCATTCAATATGGTTCAACAGGCTAAATAACATTCAACTTCCACGGATATAATCATTCTTTGAGCATTTATCGGGCGGATGACTTTTGGAAGTGTTCTGTCTTTCTTGGCCTATGTGTTTTAAAGCTATTCACATGCTATATGCAGAATTTTGACAGCCTTTTACTGCTTCATTGTTTCATTGCTTGGAACTATATGGGAAAAAGCATTTACCCATTGGTTTCAAGACAATTTTTCTTACCCTTGAGAGAGGCATATTCATGCTTGTACTGTTATCTTTTGACGTTCACGTGCTGATAAGGAGACAAATCCTTCCCATCATAAACAAGCAGGGAACCCTAGCTGTCTGAAATAATGGAATGAGAATTAATGTGCTTTGCTGGATCTTGTTATATATGATACGGTTATACGCATCACCTTCACAGTGTCTTGCATTATCACTGACCATTCATTTCACATCACAAAGAAATGACGAGTTCAGATACAAATAATGACATACAAGAAAATAGCAAAGCTTGTAACGCCAGCTTTGCTTAGCAGTTACAGAACTGATTCTTCACATACACATAATTTCAGGTATCAATCTTCATATTGGGATCCTTTTAGACCCTAAAGAAAATTATTCAGTAAAATTCAAACAAGGAAAGGCACTTATGAACCCTAAAATGATCACCGAGCTCCTTATTTTTCTAAATCCGTCCTTGATCACTTGATTTTCCTGCTCTATTTTCAAAATGTACATAACAATTTTCTTTTGAAACTTTTAGGATCAAAATTCCCCACTGCTTCCTGGAAGCTCATCAAGTTCTAGATACTTGTTCACCCAATCCAACTCATGAAAGGGTCCTTCTTTGGGAGAGAAATCAAGAAACTCATTCACATCAAAGCTAACTTCTGAGTTCACAGTTCCAATTCCATTAATGGCTTCCTCAGGATTCTCCGCAAGAGCACTATCCCAAGTATTTCTTGGTGTGCTTTCTTGTGGGGTTGAAGTGTTTGGCTTCTTCTTCTTCTCTTCACTGTTAACTTTTTTGCACAAATGAGAATTCCAGTAGTTTTTAATTTCATTGTCTGTTCGTCCTGGAAGTCTCCCAGCTATCAAGGACCACCTACACAGAAAATTAATGTCACATACGAATACAATAACTCAATCCAACAACCACATCACAAGAAAAATTAAATTCACATAATGTTTCAGTGCTGACTCATTTCAAGTACTATGATGCCGCACAAGAATCAATGTCTTTAGGATTTAATATTATAATTTAAGGGATAGAGTTGGAGAGCATAGTATTTAATTTATGAGGCTTATGAAGGTGATAATAAAAATTGACTAAAATTGTCTCTACAATGTAGTGTCAATAAACTGTCATGTCAGGGCTGTGAATTTAGCACATCTTCCACACTCGTAGGAAATAAATATCTCACATAGATTGGCCAACAAACTTTAAAGTGTCCATTTGCAGTACTAAACCAAAGCTCACATCTATGAAGAGGGTATTTTGCTTGGAGTATGGATAATATGAATATAAGAACTACTTTCCCCGCTCCTATATACTCCCTCTATCTTCAAATATAAGAGAAATTGCCCTATGTTTTTTTTTTTTTTTTTTATTATAAACAAAACTACAACTTTCAAGAAGAATTAATTATTTTTTTTCAAATTGTCCCTCGTAAATGAATATTATCATTGAATTAGAAAAAAATAGACTTTAATTGTAAGGGTATTTTAGTCTAAACATATTAAATTCATATATAATTATTAGAATTATGAGAAAAAATAACTTTAGGTCCTATACTTTACTTGTGTTTTACTATTAGTACCTATATTTTTTTTTTAGTATTTTTGGTTCTTATATTTTTATTTTTCATTATTTTAGGTACTTCCATGAATAAAGTATGAGGATCTTGAAAGAACTTAAAATAATAAAAACAAAAGTACAGGGACAAAAATATTGAAAAAAGTACAGAAATCAATAGCAAAATGTGAACAAAATATAGAGACTTAAAATTATATTTTTCCTAAAATTAATCAACTTTTTCAAACTTTGTGAATTGGTTGAAAATTTTTTATATTAAAAAAAAGAGTAATATAAATCATTTTCAAATAACTCACCAAATTAAGACAAGTTAGTTAAAGTAATAAAATTATCTTAAGATTAAATCACTTTTTATTTTTGCCCATAAATTAAAAAAAAAAGAGTGATTTGATATATGAAAAGAGTGTTGTTATTAAAGATTGACATATTCCACTTACTTTTAGAATTTGTAGAAGGGTCTTTTCGAAATTGTGCATCAAAGATTCCCCGAAAAAACAAAAACAATAGAGAATGACTTTACACGAAAGACCAAGAAAAATCTTGTAGAATGTGACTAACAAGTAGGACAAGAGGGGGTACCTATTTCCGAGGAGTTTGTGAAGCCTTAGAATTAAATCTTCTTCTTCAAGTGAAATGTTGCCTCTCTTGATGTTTGGCCTTAGATAGTTGAGCCATCTCAGCCTGCAACTCTTGCCACATCTGTTTAAACCTGCAAAAACCAGCACAGAGCACAGAACCCAGAGAAGGTTGAGGAAGAAGTAGAAGAAGAAGAAATGAAGTGAAGAGCATATATATATATATATGTGTGTGTGTGTGTGTATATATGTATACAAGACTTGTCAGAGAGGGAGGTGAGAAAACCTGATTTAATAGCAATACTCTTCCACCTCTTAGCTCCATGGACTTCAATGCATTGAGCAAGCTTTCGATCTTCCTCGGGAGTCCAAGCTCCTCTGTTAATGAATTTCCTAGTGGGTGATTCAGTCTGGCTTTGTGGTGCCATGTAAGAGAATGAGAGACACAGTGGACGCTTTTGGAAATATGAGACTAATAAGGACACTGAGACTACAATAAGTTGAGTATATATTGGAGGGATAGAGAGAGAATAGTAAGGTTAGAAGATGGAGGAGGTTTTGGAAGAGATTGTTCAAATTTGAACGGTGAGTGGGTCAACGTATCTAACCTTCCATATGAACAAAAATGGGAAGACTCAACTACCAGTGGCTTTCAGATACGTTGCCTCCTGACTGGGAAGTGAGGATGAGGCATTCTGACTTGAGTTATCCATTCACATATATATTAATATTTTTTTTTTCCGGAAAACATAATTATTTGTCCTATACTTTTAACATGTGTTGGCGTAGGTCCTTGTATTTTTTTTAAAAAAAAAATTAATTTTTTAATCTTCCAATTTTTAACTCACTTGTAACTCAGTCTCTTAATTATGACTCGCTACTACTCAATCCCTCAACTATAACTCACTGCGATTCAATCCCTCAACTTTTGATTCACCTATAACTCAGTCCTTATTTTTAAATTTTTTTTAAAAAAATTCTTATCAAATAAGAGGGATAAAAATGCTCATATATTATTTTAAAATACTCTCTTCTTGCTCATTGATGTAAGATATAAGCTAACATAAAAAAAAATTAACAAAAGTTAAGGGACTAATTTGTAAGTGATTCAAAAGTTGAGGGATTGAGTCATAGGCGAGTCACAATTGAGGGACTGAGTCACAATGATTTATAATTAAGAGACTAAGTTATAAGTAACTTAAAAGTTAAAGGATTAAAAGATTAATTTTTTTTTCTTGTCTCAAGTCCCTCTATTTATCCCATATGCAACGTTAATATATCCTGAAAAAAAAAATTATAAGGTGACACTAGCGTTATTAAATATGTAGACATATGACTATCATCTTTAGTATTTGTATTAAGGTAGAGTTATATTTTAATATATTGAAACCTTAAACATGAAACAGAATAGGGAAGAGAACACTATTAATCTATTGCATTGTAACTACACTCGGTACAAATTAATAATATTAGTCACAGGTTAACATATTTAAAACTTTTATTGTCATATTATCGTGGCTTTGGGCATATTCAAAAGTAGAGATATTCATGTTGTATACAAGATAAACTAAAAGGACATATACCAAAATATGTTAAAACTATAGAAACTAATAGTTGTGTTTTTTTTTTAACCATCATTTCCTTGTTTTTTGGTTAATTTTTTATTTTTAATAAAATTAGTCTTTTTTATATAAAAAAGTTTAGGTGCCGAAAACTTGTTAAAATCAATACATATCTCCAAGCTCAAAAAATAATGTCTCTCTTTTTTTTTTTTTTTCCTTCGTACATTTAGATGAAATTAGACGAATGAGTCATAGTGGAGTAGCATGTTGCCTTTATTATATGAATCATGTAAAATGGAATGAGGTGTTTATGACTTTTTTAAATGGAACTAGATTTTATACCTATACATTTCAGTTGCAGTATAATTGAATAATGAGGAGAGAAGATTTTAATGAGCTCAATTTTTAAAAATTAACAGAAGATAAAATTTTTGATATAGATAAAATATAAAGGAGATAAGTAAATAAAATTACTCATAAATTTTAAACCATACTTATCTATAAAATTATAAAAATTATTCAATACCTACATTTTAAATGAAGTAAAACTTATGGATGATGTCCTACATTATAATTTGAAGAGAATATATTTTTTTAATATTAGTTTCACATTTACCGTTTATTTTTCACTGTGGGTCTCATCCACCTCATTATAAAGCCTTTTATAATATTTTATTTTTATTTAATATATAATAATAAAGAAAAGTAAACTAAAAAATATTAAAAAAATAGGTCAGACGGGGAAATATTAATGTAAGTCGGGCCCACACAAATTTTTATAACATGTTTTTTCAACATTAATAATGATTAAAATGTTTTTATATAATCAGGGCCCCCACAGATTCTTATAACCTGTCTTTTAATGCTAATACTGTAGAACAACAGCAATCCTCCGACTTGATAATTACAAAGGAGGGGGATTACGGGGCACTGTAGAAAACAGTAAAAATACGAAAGAACAGTAATTTAACAATGCAATTGACAAAAGTAAATAAGATTGCAATTCTTATAAATTTTATTTCCTCTATTTTTTAAAAAAGTCAGATATTAAAAAATATAAAATATTTTAATATTTTAATGTATAATTATTATATTCTTTTTAAAAATGCCTTTAATAAATAGAGGAAATTTTAATAAAAATTTATTGGCCACATTTATTTAAATTGAAAGCTCCTAATTTTTTAAAATTTCATTGCAGTTTATGAGTAATGATTTGATATTAAATTTATAAAAAATAAAAAAATGACCTTTCATTTAATTTAATATCATAATTATCTTACTTTACTTATTAATTACCTCACTTACTTGTTCATTTGCTTTTGAAATGTTGAAATTATCTTATTTGACTTGTTCATTTCTCTGGAATGAAATTAAGTGAAAGTTTGACAAAATGACTTTTCATTTAAATTAATATCATAATTACCTTATTTTATTTGTTAATTGCCTCACTCCACTCGTTTATTTATTTTTGAAATGTTGAAATTGCCTTACTTGACTTGTTCATTTCTCTGAAATGAAATTAAGTGAAAGTTTAGCAATGAATAAATGAAGTAGAGTAATGAATAATAGTCCATAAGAAAATTAAAAATAATTTAATTTAAGTAGGAACCAACATACAGTACAGGAACTAACAAATTGTCTTAAGATAATTTAAATACTTAAAATAAAAATATTTTAAGTAGAGCAATTAACAACATTTTGTAATTAAATTAATAAATGAAGTAGGATAATAAAAAAGTGAAACACTGAAGTTTTGACAATAATTTAAATAAGGGGTAATTTTATTATTTTTTTAGAAATTTAATATCAAATTAGTACTCCTGAATTATAGTGTAATTTTAAAAATTTAGGTGCTTTGAATTTAAATAAGTATTGTTAAGGGGTCTTTATTGAAATTTTTTTTAATGAATAAATCACTTTATATTTATTTTAAAATAAAACACCCTATTAAATAGGGACAGATATAAAAAGATGATATTAATTTAAAAATAAATAACTACTTCAATAGGGATGAGATTTAATAAAAAATTTCTTTAACCTTTCATTTGGATAGAAAAAAAAGTTGGGAGAAAAGAAAATGGAAGGAGAGAAAATGAAGAGAAGAGAAAACTAAAAAAAAAATATTATCACTCATGTGTTTAGATAGACAGGAGAAAATAGAAAGGAAAGAAAATGAACAAATACAATTATGACCGTAATAGTTTTATATCAAAATTTATCATGTTTCATATAATTATTTTTTGTAGCAATAAAATAAAAGCAAGAATTATATTAAAATTAATATACTCAAATTAGTCGTTAAAAATTATTATCAGCAAGGCTAATATATATTGCTATAATTTATTACACCGGAGAAAAATTAGGATCTTCACCTCTCATGTCTTAGGAAAATTAAAATTAAGGATGTTATAGAATTTTATGTGCAGAAAATTAAATGAAGCCATGATTTAACATAACTTCTGTACGGACTCCATCATGGCCCCTGACGCCAGTAGCAGTGGAAAATGCAAAGTTAAGGGACGAATATCCATGGAACCGTACAAGTTACACCACCAAGGGGGCAAACAGTTCTTGGGTAATCCAAGACCAAAATTAATATTTATATTTCGCCTTGTATATGCGTGTGTGTGTATTTTTTAGCCATTTATATATGATTTTATGTTAAGAAAAATTAAATGAATTAGAGACATTTTCATACTGATTCTCAGTGGCACTCTCTTTTATGTCGCCAATACTTTAACCTTATGAAATTATAAAATTTTTAATGAATTATATCGAAAATTAATATATCCTTTAAGTGTAACTTTTTCTGTTAACCAAGCATCTAGAAACACTTGGAAGGGGGGTTTCTAATCCCATGGTCGAGGTCATATGATATGGGCAATGTTTCAAAAGTGGCATTATTTTTGCTCTTATTTTAACCGTTTCAATTGGGACTTGAAAATTCAGGCCAACAAGAATGGCATTGAAAACGATTTTTTTTTTTTTTTTTAAGTGACGCCGCATCAATTATAACCCATCCTTTTTATTTTGTTCCCTTCGTTTTTTTTTTTTTTTGCTTGTTCCATCATGCTTCATGCAATAAGGTACTCCCTAGCTACCTGGCTATGATATTGCTACACATTACTATAAGTTGGAAATTGGAACGGAGAGAGAAGAATCATGGCTTCATTTAGTTCATAGTTATAAAATTAAAATTAGGATCTTTATATAATTTTTTGAATCAATGTTTGTAATTTTTGAGTCGGTTATTATAATTTGTTGATCATTTTTGTAATTTTTGAAGTCCTTTTGTATCATTGTATGATCAATTAATAATTAAAATTAACTTTTTCTAATAATAGGAGTCAAATTGTATCATTTTTAAAAATTAATGAAATAATTTATATAATAAATAAGTTTAAGATTTATGGTGCTATTAGATATAAAGTTGAAAAGATAAATCATGGAAAGTATGTCTTCAAACATACTTCTTTTAATTCTATTATATTATAGGACTTTTTCTAAAAACATTTAACGGTGTTTAATATAAGTCACATTAAAAATTATTAATTAATTTTTGTTAGTTTTATCCTTAACAAATTTTTAAAAAAACATTAATTTTAATTTAATGTTTTTACATAACTCCTCAAATGTTTTGTTTATCTTTATATTTAATAAAGACAAAGTTAAACTATTTTTAAATTTTAAAATAAATTTAATGAATTAACCATCATTCTTTAATTTCGGTGGCGATTGAAAATAAATTATAATGATGACGGGAGTGTGTAAAACAAAACAAGTACTAATGGTAAACTACATATATACGGGTCTAACTTGGCTGGTGTTTCATTCTCCAGGTTCTTTTAATTTAGATGCAATCTGACACTTACTGCTAAAACTAATATGGTAATATAAAGATCTTTATAGTTTTCTTTTTCTTTTTTAATGAATTCTTGTAGTTTATTTTAATAAAATCCATATAATTTGATCTATTGATATGTTAACATTTAAAGGTTAAAATTATTAATGAATCGATTACTTTTTTTAAAAAAAATACTTTTGAAGTCTATAAAAAATCTGATTTAATAATTTTG